AATAAATCCTGGTATATAATCTTTTATTTTAACTCTTTTTTTTTTTTTTAATTTGAGAGAGAGAGAAGCAGATTTGTCATTTCACTTATTTGTGCATTCATTGGTTGCTTCTTGTGTGTGCCCTGACCAGAGCTCGAACCCACAAGCTTGGAGCATCTGGACAATGCTCTAACCAACTGAGCTACCCAGCCAGGGCCCTGGTATTTAATCTTTATCTTTGCATAATAGTTCAATTTAGGTTTTTCAAATCTCAGTCAGCTAGCTTTCAAAGCTTCTTTGAGTAATTATGTTTTCACATTTAAATTTCATATTCTCGTAAAGGAGGAGGAATAATCCCGAGGGAAATTCTTCATTCTTATGATGAAGTCTAAGGTAGCCCAGAGCGGGGCTTGTACACATTAGCTGATGTCATCTCAGCTAACATTTGCTGAGCGCCTACTGTTTGCTCAGCGCATGCAAAATACTTGGCTATACGTTATCTCATTGTACCCCCTACCCCCGGCAACCCCATGAGGGAGGCAAGGCCATTACTGTCACTTCCATTTTACAGAAGAGGAGATGAGGTCCGGAGTGGCCCTGTGACCTGCCCAAGGTTAAGCGTAGGTGGGCAGTGACAGAAACAGGTCTGAAACTTTGGGTCCCACACTCCACATCCTATTTGCTGATGCTTCAACCAACGTGTGAAGCAACATTTCAGGTGCAGGGCTGGGGTGAGAACTTGCTGTACGTCATGCAGATACCAAGAGAGCAGTCCTGCCAACACGTCAGGGCCCTGTTAATTAGGTAACTTCCCCCTCCCAACGCTCAGGGCTCACTCTCGGGTCTCCTTTGCCCTGAAGCCCCTGACCACGAACCCATTCCCTCACGAGGAGGGTCTCATCCCCAGGAAACTTGGGTCCCTTGTCACACTGGGTCATGATCATCTGGTGCCATCTGCAGTGAGTTCTCCAGGGCAGTAAATCTCTGAACAAGAGCCAGGGACATCAGGGGCATCATGAGGAAGTGGCCCGACACTGTTGCCATGGCAACATCTCCTTGGCCTCCAACCAAGTGTCTAGGCTGGTGAACAAACAAGAGGGAAGCAAGGGTGACTCAGGGTGTCCCCAGTCAACAAGGATGACTCAACCATTCGGTGACAGGGGACGGGCAGGAGGCCAGCCTTGGATGATGGGGATTTCTGTGAAGGTCTTATCTTCCCTGAAAAGCTGAGGGCTGCTGGAGTGCAGGGATCCCCTCTCGGTCATCTCCACGTCGCCTGCGGAGCCCGCACGGCACCAGGCGGGGTCCAGGAACCGGCGAATGTGCGCTGTCCCGCTAATGCCAAGCCGTGTCCTAGCACAGTCCGCAGAGTTTTTCAAACTGCCTATCACGGCCCATCAGTGGGTCACGAAACCCCTTTTGGTGCTACAGACAGCATTTTTTTATTTATTAATAAAATAGAAATAAAAAGGAAAAAAATTGAGAGTGCATCATGCGACAGTAGTAAGGGTCAGTATTTTCCATGAAGGTTTTTTTTCATGGAAAACATGAAAAGTGTATGTGTGTGTAGTAGTGGTGGTGGTGGTGGGTGTCCTGGGCCGTGACATAAAGTACATTCCTATTCTGAGTCACAGTCAAAAAATGTTTGAGAAACAATGATTGAAGAACAATCGTAGGAAGAAACTTCCTTGACCAGTTTCCTGGCGATAGGAACTTGGAAATGGAATCCTCATTCGCATCGCGCATCCATTTATTTATCATTCATCCGAAAAAGCCTCCTGGGGTTACCTTCCCTGTTGTATCAGCCAATTAGGTGTGAAGGTGAAACCTTCAGGAACAAGTTACCAGCTCCCTATGGCCGGAGCCACTAATTAGGCGGCACTGGCCAGAAGAGGTGACAGGCGCCACCTCACATGGGCCCATCGTCAAAGGAGGAGCCTTCATTCGCTGAGCTTTTGAGGTTCAAGCACAGTGAGGAGTGGACTTGAACCACTGACCTTTGCATTCTGTCTGTTTCCCCTTGCCCCGCCAGTGGTCAGAGATAATGCAGCCCCCGCATATTGATACTGTCCTATTGTTCCTAAATTATTTTGTCATTTCCAGTCTTGTCTCTTCAGTTAGTTCATAAACTACTGGAACTCGTCTTCTGCTTCTCTTATAAATTCAAAACACCTAGCAGGGGTGGGAACACAGTAGGTACTCAATGTGTGCTTCCTACTTACTGACAGCTACCCTCTCAGGTCCCTGCTAAGACATGCCTTCCTTCCTCACTTTCTCCTACCACAGGGCGTTTAGCATGTGGCTTTGTATTGTGTGGGTAGCAGCTGTCTCCTCTGCTTAGACTGTGAGCCTACTGAGGACAGGGAGTGTGTGTATTCTGTCCATCACTGTGTCCGCGGCCCCTAACGCAGCACCGTGCCTGCCTTGTTCATGGTATCTTCAGTGATTGGCACTTGGTTAGGTGTATCTGTTCGTTATCACCATCCTGATGCTGAGTAACAAACAGTCCCACTATCTCAACGACATACCAAATTAGCATTTGTTTTTGTGGGGCAGCGCTAAGCTTCAGGCTGGGACTGGATTTGCTCTGTGTGTCGCTCACCCTCCTTAGACCAGCGGGCTAGCCAGGGCATGTTTTTCTCATGGTGATGGCAGAGGCACAAGAGAGCAAGTTCAACTGCACAGGTGCTTTGCAGGCTTTTAGTTCCATCGTGTTCATGGGCATATCTTTGGCCAGAGTGAGTAGTCAAGCCCAAAGCCAAGGAGCGAGGAAGCATACTTTGCCTCTGGAGGGTGGGGCGGTGACGGGACCAGTGAATACTTCTGACTAACCTACCAGAGCAAGTGCTGAGGTTCCCACTAAGTGGTCATGGAATGCAAAGGAAGGGGAGAGAAGACTTGAATTCCTGGGCTTTCCATGCGTATTCACCATACAGGTTCAAAAGTCCATGAAGTCTACAGAGAAAGTGAGCCTTCTCAACAGATAAGAACCCAGCCACCCAGAGTTAACTTTGTTGGGCAAATAAAGTGAGTCCTCAGAAGCGACTGCCGCAGAGGTTCTTCCTCCAGTTCACCCAGGGACAGCAGCTGCTCTGGATGGAGAAGGGGGCAGTGACCACCGGCTTCTCTTGAGGCATCTCTGAACAGAGAGGCTCCTGCTCTGTTTTGTGTCCTTTGGAAATGTGCACACAGACAAATGCCCATGTGTTTGTTAAGATCAGCAGGTCAGGACGTTGAGGAAACCTTTTAAAATAGTTAGACATCATTTCTGAAGGGGGTCCAGAGCCTTGGTCATCACGTCAGTTTGTGGTGCCAGCTCTGGGGCTGTTCAAGGCTGTGCAAGGTTGGACGCCCTTTCTCTGGTTAGCTGAAAAGTAACCATCTGTTTTCCTTTGGTTCCCTCTCCCTCTGACTGCAGGAGTGCTGTGCCTGCCAGACAGCCTGAATCTGCACAGAGACCCGCAGCGGTCAAACAAGCCGGGAGACCTGCCCATGTTCAGCCAGTCGGAGCTGAGGACCATCGAGCAGTCCCTGCTGGCCACCCGCGTGGGCAGCATCGCAGAACTGAGTAAGTGGATGCCGGTTCTCCCGCCCTCTCTGTTCCCAGGGTGCCCCTGCCCGCAGGGAAGTGCTCTGTAACCTGCCAGATGGCATCTTTTATTGAACCCCTGCCATGTGCACAAAACAGTGCCAGGATGGCCGCGGGGAAGGCGAGGGCTCTGGAGTCAGGCAGACCTGGTCAGTTCCCTGGCCCTGCCACTGATGTAAGTCAAGTTTCTAACCTTTTCTGAGCCTCAGTTTCCTATAAAAGAGAAATAATAGTCCCTCACTTAGAGTTACCTACAGCGATTTGATGAGCTAATGCCCATAAAGGAGTTTGCCACGTGCCTGGCACACAGTAGGTGTTCTATAAATGGTTGCTGTTCATGTGATTGTCACAGTGGGTTTCCTTTAAAGCATATATCGGATCACTTCTCTGCTTTACTCAGAATCTTCCACCAGTTCCCCATCTGACCCAGAGGGAAAAAAACAAAGTTCTCAGAATTGTTTGCAGGTCCCCCACCCATATCACTCAGACACCTTCTTCACTCTCCCCTATGGCCTACTGGCCTCAGTCACCCTGACTCCTCATTGTTCCTCGAACATAGCAGGCCAACCTCAGGACCTTTGTGCTTACTGTTCCCTCTTCCTGGACCACTCTTCTCCAGATATGCACATGGCTTGCTCCCTCATTACCTTCAAGTCTCACTCAAATGTGACCTTCTCAGTGAGGCTTTCCCTGACCACCCTATTGAAAACTATGACCCCCTGACCTGGCTGGGTGGCTCAGTTGGTCGGAGCGTCATCCCGTACGCCAGGGTATGGCTGGTTCGATTCCCAGTCAGAGCACATACCTGGGTTACAAGTTCAGTCCCCAGTTAGGGCACCAACAGGAGGCAATCAATGTTTCTCTCTTGCATCAGTGCTTCTCATATCTCTCTCTCTCTCTCTCTCTCTCTCAAATCTGGGGTAAAGACAAAATTAGGACCCCCTGAGGATGTTTAGCCCCCTTTACTGCCTTACCTTTCTCCTAGCAGTTTTCCTATGGCATTCTCTATATTTTGTTTTGTTGTTTTTTAATAACAGCTTCACTGAGATATAATTGAAATACAAATTGCCTATTTAAAGTATATAACTCAATGATTTCTGGTATATTTCTTGAGCTGTGCAACCATAACCACAATCAGTTTTAGAACATTTTCATTCCCCCCAAACCTGAGAACCATGAGCACTCACTTCCCTTCTCTTTGTCACACCCTATATTTTACTCAGTTATTTTTTACATTGTCTATCTCTCCCTGCTGCAATATAGTCTCGTAGAGAGTAGAGATGTCTGTTCTGTTCATTGATGTAACCCCAGCACCAAGAATACTGCCTGGCACATAGTAGGTCCTCAGGTAATAGGAAGAGGGGTTGAGGAAGAGGGAGAGAGACAGAGAGAGAGGTAGAGAGAAGGGAGGGATTGTCAAGGTGGGGGGCCACAGTTTGAGCAATGGCATGTCACACTTGCGCACCCCTAATTTAGGGTTGTGCTCTCTGAGCCCAGCCAACCAGAGGAAAGTAAAACCTTATTTTCTTATGATGCCGTTGATTGTCAAATGACTTAGCTGTGTATTAGTTCCTGATGGGACTAGAGGGTTGATCTCAGAAACACTTGGTTTATGTTAAAGAATGAGTTGGTGCGAGAGTCCAGAAAATCCTGACCTATTGCAGGCTCCTGGATCCAGAAAGCAACGTTCACATCTTCCCGTGGGAACTCCCTGTGCGCCCAGGACAGGCAGGCAGCCTCCCTTTAGCACTCGGCACCTCTGGAAGCAAAGTAGTAGCTGATTCAAGCCGTAGGGGGTCCTTACTGTCACTAAAGCTACTTGTCTGGCACCTGAACTTGGAAACTGCATTTTCATTCTCATCAAACCCGCAAAGTCATGAGATGCCGGCAGTCACAGGGGCTCCCAGTTACCAGTCAGTCATGCAGATTTTCTTCAAGTTTTGGGTACCATGGAACCCTTTGGCAATCTGGTGAAGTCTGTGAACCCTGCCTCAATATTTCTAAATGCGTAAAATGAAGTGCCTAAGTTTACAAAAGAAACCAATTACACTAAAATTTTCATCTAAATTGTGGTGTAGTCATCCTTTGCTGTTTTACTGGCACATTAGCAAGATCTAGCGGCAGCTCTATGACCTCATTATTTTGAGGTGGTGATGTGCAGGAGATATTCTGAGACATCTGCAACAATTGGACGGGGTGAGGGAATGTCTGCCTTTTAACAGCTCCCTGGGGATTCAGATATAGAGGGTCCGAGCACCTCCCCTGGGGAAGCATCCCTCCAAGAACAAATGCCAAGACATGCCCGGGACCCTGGAAACGCAGAAGCTGGCTACAGTGCTGGGTCAGTCTGCTTGGGCATAACCTGGGAAAAGGCCGCCACTCCACTGGCCCACACACTCTGTCCCTGCAATCTGAAAGGTTTGTCCTGGGATATCATATCGTAATGGCCCCTCGCACTGTGTCCAGCACCTGGGCTGTGGCCCTGCTTAATTCCCGGGCCCTCTGAGAAGAGAGGATTTGCTAAAAACTCTGCACTTCACCTAAGCAGGCAGTCTGCGGGAGCAGCTTGCCGCATAAATTGTTTTTAAGGACAATTTGCTCTGCAAATTAAATGCTGTCATTGTGGTGAATGTTGACTTTCGCATATGAATTGTTGGCACGAAGATGGGTGCTGCTAATTACCAATGGGTTTTGTACATTCATTAAGCCTGTCCCCTAGAACATACACGAGGAAGCACGTTGATAAGCCACGTGGGCGACCGAGGATAATAAAATTGCCTTCTTCCCTGGTCTGACTGTAATTTAGACTGGCTTGCACTGTGCTCTGAATCAATACAGCCGTGCTCTCTCTGTGTGCACAGAGCTGTTCTTCATATTCAAAGGTTACTCCGCCAGTGTGCGTTCTAGAAACCGCTGTTTTTCCATCAGAGAAAGGTGGAGAGAGTTTGTTCCCAGCCGTCCCTGCTCTTCTTGAATCAGGCTGTCCAGGTCGGAGGGCAGAGCCCCTGACCATGAGCTTCTTAACAGTGCCTTGAACTAGGGAGCGGCGAGAAATCTGTACGAATCATCTCCAGTGTCACCCCCACTGTGCGCCTGGGTGTGGGAATGGGGTGGGGAGAGGGTGAGCTGCGCCTGTGAGCCGAAGGGCTGGGGATCGAATCCAGGTCTCAAGGCAGAGCTTCCCGCTCGCCACGAGACGACTCCCCCAGCAGCTGTTTGTCCATGTCACAGGGGACACGAGAGCCCCCCTGTGAGATCAGGGTGGTGGTCGGGTCTCTGTTCCTCCCAGCTGAAGATCTGCACTCGGCTCTGCAGGATGCACTGGGGCCGCTTCCCTGGAAACTAAATTGGACATGTGGAAAGTCACAAAGGTTCGTCCCCAGGCTCCTAGATGGGGGTCCACCCCTGCAGGCAGAGGCTCCTGCTTATACCCCCTGCCTCCGACCATCCTCAGAGCAGCATATTAAACCCAGACCTGCCTTACTCCATGGTGATGCCAGAGCCGTCTTTCCCAGCCTGCTATGGCTTGGGATGAAAATGCATCCACTATTGCTGGAGCCCCTACTGTGCTCCAAGTGCTTTAAATATGTTAAAGGTATTATTGTTCCCATTTCGCAGATAAGAAAACTGAGACTTGGAAGGATAAATGCCTGGCCCAATGCAGTCATGATTCAAACCCAGTTTTTTCTTTTTTTCCTCTGCTATGCTGTGTCCAGTTCAGCTTTGCTTTCTGACACATTGCCCATAACTTGGGAATAACTGTTGAATGTCAAATGAGTAAATGAATGACCCACAGTGAACTAGTCTGTAAAAAAAAAAAAAAGCTGAAGAAAATGTTACAGGTGAGGGGAACTCTTCGTGAAACTTCAGTAAAATATTAAATACGCATTTGAACTGAATTTTGAACTCAAGAGAACTAGAACTGAACCTCTGTGTGTCTAAAATATTTGAGTGAGAAGCTAAATCAGGATACCACAAAGGTCCCCAAACTGACACAGGCTGGTGATTCTTTAACCAGAAGCCCTAGGAAATTTGCAAGGCGAGGTGCTGAACTTCACAGCTGACTTAGAGTCTGGCGGGCGGTCCAGGTCCCCTCCGTGAAGGGGGTCGTTGGTCTGGGGGAACGGGGCCCACCCAGTCTCCCAGCTGAGCCCAGGGGAAAGCAGAGGCCCTGGGCCTTCTCACTTGTGAAACAACTTGACTCTGCGTTTGGTCCCATCCAATCCCATAATCTTGTCCTCTGAGATCTTTACCCTACTGCCAGACCTCCCAGTCTTGCCCCCAAGCTCCCAATTAACTGACCATTGGACAGTCATTGATTAAAGTAATTGCTTTCTGATGTTTAAGGGGAGGAACTGAGGGTTTCATTAAAATTGCCTCTTCCTGTTGTCTTTTCACACTTAACTGTGAACTTGTTGCTCCCGGTCAATGAAGCAATCACAAAGGAGCCATTAATTTACAGCCATGTGTAAAAAGGGTTTCTGGGTTGGCTTTCCAGTGTGCCACCAGGAAAAAACAAAACAGAACAAAAGAGCCCTCAATGCTTGGACAAGGAGGTGGGCTCTTCCTAGCGAGTCCTGCCGCCTCCAGTCCCAGGGTTGTGACAGGTTTTGAAACCTACTGTAGTAGGTGGTAGCCGCCCCTGGATGGAATGGAGAGCTGGGAGGACGTGGAGGTGCTGCCTGTGGTCAGGCTTAGACAGAAGGAGCCCGTCTCTGGAACGGTGGCCCTTTGGCCCAGGCAGTCACATCGGGCGCGCCCGAGGACGGCTCAGTCAGAGCCGCTGAGATGCGCTGATAGCCCGCGTCTGGCGGATGAGAGCAGCGTTTCCCAAAACAGTGGCACAGGAAAGGGTCGTAGGTGATCCAGAAATCGCTTTTAATTTTTAATTGCTATGAATTTTTTATGACTACTAGAAAAATATTGGCTTTCCATTTATGGCACTGATATGAGGTTTCCTTTTCAAATGAATTTATTTGCGGGAAAGAATGAGCCAATTTAAAGAAAAATATTAAGTAAATAAATTGTACCTGCGGCACACAGATAGGAGAGAAGTCACGATGGTGATTCCCGAATGGCTGACGTTTGGGAAAACTTGTTATACGTGGATCCTCAAGGAGGTTCCTAGAGCCGAACTCCTGCTGCCCAAACTCCGGGCAGCTAGTTACAAGTGATTTATGATTTGCGTTCACGAAGCTGGCAGGGGAAGCAGCAGAGAGCACATACATGAAGCAGGGTGCAGAGTGGAGCTAGTGACTGGGCAAGGCCTGTGCCAGTTTCCTCTCCCATGGCCAGCCCTGCGCAGAGACATTCTTGGGGCCTCTGACCCAGGGACTAGGCTGCTGATGACTGTGATGGGGATGGTGGTGGTGACAGTGGTGATGATGATGTTGATGGAAATGATGCTGGTGGTGATGGTAGTGATGAAGCCAGTCTGGGTCCAGAGAGCACCTTCCTAACCACTATACTACCCTGCTTCTTCAGGAGCAGGACGAGGAATGGGTCTTGTTCTCTGCCCTTGAAGTCAGTAGATGTGTGGACAATTCACTGGGAAACATGACGGAATTAAACCACTAATGTGCTAGACTATTTGCGGGTATTGCAGGCACACAGGGGAAGGGGAGGTTGATTCTGATGGGGCGTTCTGGAGGGCTGCATGGAAGAAGAGGTACTTGATCACAGCCTTGAAGGTCTTCAGTAGTTGGAAGAATGAAGCAGGGAACCTGGAAGGGCAGGGCAAGCTGAATGATGCTCAGAGGAGGTGGTTGGCCCACCCGAGGCAAAGGTTTCCTGGTGTCTTGGGGAATGGAGGGGTGCTGCAGGGGCCTGAAACACGGACCCTTTTCTCTTCTCTGCTCCCTTTTGATTTTTCTTATTTTGAGCTTTTTTTTATGGGAAATCTCAAGAAAAACAGATGGAAAGGTGAGTACACTCCAAGTTGACCCTAGACGGAAGGTGTAAGGAAGTAAACACACCACTTCAGTACGCTTATTATTCTGATAATACCAAGTAGCACATTCCATAATTCAAATCTCAGAAACTACAGAAAAGGTGAATATAAAGGAATATTACCCACAATCCTGTTAGGCAGGCAAATCCTTGGTCAACATTTCGATTTTTTTTTCCTAATATTTACTCAGTACATAGTTTTTAATAACATAATCCTAATCACACTGTATGCAATTTTGAATTTCACTTTTTTCCCCACTTACCATTTTAACGTAAGGATTTTTTTTTATGGCATTGCACCTCTATATAAACATTTTTAATGACTGCTTAAGTTTATGATTTTATCATGTAGATGTACCAGAGTTTATTTAACCACACTCTCATTTTTAAACATTTGTTTCTTTGTCAAATTTTAGACCCTGTAAATAAGGTTTGGGTGAAAATCCTTGTGCATGAAGATTTTGCTGCATTTTGGATTCCAACTTTGGGACAGAGTCCCAGAAGTGGAATTACTGAATCAGGGTATAGAGCATTTGTTAACACCTTGGCTACAAAATGCCAAATATCCTTAAGACAGACTTGGAGCTGGACAGGGCTGCATTGGGCTGTCTCAGCAAAAAAGGACTTGGTCTGGTGGGGTGAAGAGCACAGGCATGAGGCTTAGACATACACAGGTTGAAATCCTTCTCTGCCTCTTAACTAATCTTGTGACCTTGAGTCTCAGTTTCATTGTCTATAAAATGGGATTTCTCAAAGAATTTCAGGCATATCTTTTCTGCAAGTCTTTACTGCCTAAAGGATCTGAAATCTTACTTCTGTCTACAGGTGACCTGGTGTCCCGAGCAATGCATCACCTGCAGCCCCTCAATGCCAAGCACCATGGCAACGGGACTCCCCTGCACCACAAGCAAGGGGCGCTCTACTGGGAGCCTGAGGCCCTGTACACCCTTTGCTATTTCATGCACTGCCCGCAAATGGAGTGGGAAAATCCCAACGTGGAACCTTCCAAAGTCAACCTCCAGGTGGAAAGGTAAGACTTGCCTTCCCCTTGCCAAAGAGAGGTGCTCCTTTCCGGCCAACGCCACCTTTTGGTGGGAGGGTGGGTACTGCCTCCATTGAGGTGCAGAGGTGGGAAGGGGAGGGATGCTGGGCTCAGAATTGCCCAGCTCCCAGAAATTCACTGGAAGGGTCCAGATGGGAACCATGTGCCCTGAGAAGGTACCTGAGACCCTGGTGGAGTCTTGGAAATGGGATTTCATAGGGCTGGTCCAGTTCCAGGTAAAATGACCTGGATCAGAAGAGTGGGTCTGCAAATTCTGGAAGGATGAGGGCCTCGGTNGAAAATGGCCTGGATCAGAAGAGTGGGTCTGCAAATTCTGGAAGGATGAGGGCCTCGGTGGTGCACAGTGGCTTCCTTGTGAAGGCAGCTTTGGGGGATGCNAAATGACCTGGATCAGAAGAGTGGGTCTGCAAATTCTGGAAGGATGAGGGCCTCGGTGGTGCACAGTGGCTTCCTTGTGAAGGCAGCTTTGGGGGATGCCAGCTCCTTGGGTCTTCGTTTCATCCTAGCTGCCTGGAACCTCACAGGGGCAGGCGGGTTGGACCATAAATATCTGCTCATCCAGACTGGGCCATGCAGGTGGGTGAGAGTCTGGCTTGCTGGGGGAAGCAGAATCCTCACAGGAAAAGAAAAACAGGAGAGAAAGAAAGGAGAGCTTCCTGGAAGAGGAAGCTCCCTCTGACCCGGCTTCTGCTGCTCCTTGGCACCATCCTTCTGCTTCCCTGTGCCTCAGTCTCCCTGTCTGTAAACCAGTATCTACACCAAGTGGTTCCCGGGTTCCCTTGTATCTGGAAAACCCCAGGGTTCTNTTCCCTGTGCCTCACTCTCCCTGTCTGTAAACCAATATCTACACCAAGTGGTTCCCGGGTTCCCTTGTATCTGGAAAACCCCAGGGTTCTCTGAAGATGGCTCCATTCCCCCAGAGGCAGGGTGTCAGAAACACCCCCAGGAGAGGAGGCATCCCCTCTGCCTCCGGGAGCACATCCACAGAGCTCATCTCCCATGATGTCTCACAAATCAGGCCCCTCCTCCGCACAAGCCTCTTTACTGCAACTACTGTAGTGACCCCTGTGATCAGAACAGCGGTTAAGAGAGCAGGCTCTGTGCCCCAGACTTTTGGGTTTAAACCCAGGTTCTTCCAGTTAGAAGCTGGGGGCCTTGGGAAAGGGCCTTAATGTCTCTGTGCCTCAGTTTCTTCACCTGTATAGTAGGGCTACTAAGAGTATGTAATTCCTTCATAGGGCTGTTTGAAGATTAGATGAATTGAATAGTGCCCAGCATATAGTAAGTGCTCAATAAATAAGTGTTCACTTTTTATTGTTGTAGGTACTATCTGCATATAGCTAAACAAATCCCTTTTGGGCTCAGTGNTATAGTAAGTGCTCAGTAAATAAGTGTTCACTTTTTATTGTTGTAGGTACTATCTGCATGTAGCTAAACAAATCCCTTTTGGGCTCAGTGCAATTTTCCTTTCTCTGTTAAATGTTTCCAAGTTGTTTTGAAATTTTCATTGGATGCTCTGTTCCTGCCAGGATGGATTAGGGCTCAAAATTGGGCTCCTTCACAAAACCACGTCTCTTGGCTTTCAGTTATGGGAAGAAAATGGAGCCTGGGCTAGACAGAAGTTGCCTTTTTTTAAAGAATCCCAAGTTAGCATTAATATTTCAGTCTAGTCTGGAGTTAACTTAATCAAGAGATTACTCAGGTCTCCCGCTATCCAGGCCAAATCGGTGGGTACCCTGTGCCTATTTTCGTGTGCCAAACATGCCCAAGATGAGAGATGGCAAAATGTCCATGGTCCCTGGGCAGAAATAACCTCAGTTAGACACAACAAGACTCCGCTTTCTGTGAGTGTGAATCCTGAGAGCTGAGAGAATGGAAACCATTGGCCTGTGGGGAACCTAGGTCTGCAGTCCCCACCCTCAGCCAGTGCCTGTGCAACAGCACATTTTCTCTGACTCACTCCCTCACGTCGTCTTCAACCCCCACCTCTAAGCAAATGACAACCCCCCTCCATCTCCAGCCACACATCGCCTCCTCTGAGCTCCATTCTAGGAAGACCACCTCAGGATTCCAAACTTTCTGGGACAAGATTTAAAGAGAATGAGCTGCAAGGAAGGGCAGAGTAAAGAGAACATGTCCCAGTGTTTGTTGGAGTCACTTATCTTGGACTTTCCATTGCTTTTGGTTGAATTTTCAGGCAACAACACAAAACACAAAGTGGAACTTGTCATTTTTTGAGTTCTGTTCACTTTGGACAAAGTATAGATGTAGGAGTCAGGTCAACCTCTGAGTTTGGGTCCCAGCTCTGCTTCTTCTAGCTCTGAGGACTTGAGCAGGTCATTTACCTCTTTAATGACCTTCTAGCTCTGAGACCTTGAGCAGGTCACTTAACTTCTTTAATGAGTTCTAGCTCTGAGACCTTGAGCAGGTCATTTAACCTCTTTAATGACCTTCTAGCTCTGAGGCCTTGAGCAGGTCATTTAACCTCTCTTTTCTTCAGCCTCGTGGGACTGGACTGGCGTCAACAATGAATTAGATATTATAGCTGAGACATCCAGTGCCATGCCTGGTACAAAGGGACCGCCCCTCCTCCCTGCCTCCCAAAAGTAGAGATTATGCTCTTTTTTTATTGTTGTTCTAAAATACTATTATCATGTCCCTACAGAAGCCTGTGTGTGATTCCTTCAAGACAAAAGCTGTTTCTTCCCGTTGCCCAGTGAGATAGGCACTGGTGTTTAGCATCTGAAAACACACATTTCCTTCAGAGAAGAGAGGGCCTCTAACTGTTTCAGTCAAATGTTTACACCAACTCCATCCCAAAACCTCCATCAATAGGAAATTGCCAGTGGGAGGTAGGACTCGAATTGGGAGTTGCTTTCCTCTCCTTCTGTCTCCTTTACTCCCCCAGATCAAACAAGATTTCCTTGACTCTTTATTTCTATTCTGGCAAAGAAAGATAGGGCCATGGTGCTCATATGGTTTTCCACGAGCCTAAAGGTTCTACCAGGAACGAGGCTGAACATGAGTGTGCTTTTGTTCATGCCCAGCAGAAAGCCTGAGAAATATCTGTAGACTGAAATACGGATTGTGTTGTGCCTGAAACCATTTCTACTCGTCAGAAGAGCCTTTCTTGGCCGGAGCATTTGGAGCGAGGCCCACAGGCCCCGTTTTGCTCTGTCATGTGGGCTCAGCTTTAGAGCCGCTGCGTTTGTTTTGGATGCTTCATTTTTCACTGTGGGATTTTGAAGAAACTCAGTGCCACCGTGAAATTGCTGTAATTTAAATTTTTCCAGAACTTTGGCTACTATGTTTTGAGCTTCTGAAATCTTTCAGGTCCCTCAGATATTTGTATTAAAAAAAAACACACCGTAAATTTTGTAAGATTATGATTGGGCGATATTTATTTTCCAATTAATAATGATAAGTGTAAAGACCTTAATTTTGATCGTAGAGGCCATGTGAGGCTGCTGTTTTTAAATGGAATCATCAGAAATCTATGTTGAGATTTTCTTCCCCTCTGTCATTATTGGAAATATCGGTGATTTCTAGATGTGTTTGGCTATGGATGACTTCAGTAATTTGTTGCCACAAAATAAAAAAATAGTAGGGTATATAACACTATTTTGTTGCCTGAGGTAGCTGGTAATGCCTGAGAGAAACAGTGATCAGATTCACCTGGAAGACTAGACAGTTAGGTAGTTTTACTCTCCCCCAATCTCACTAAAAACAAACCAGAATTTATACCTAGGCAGTGGCAGCTCTCAGTCCTTTTGCAAGAACTGTACAAACAGATGTGGCAGACTATCTGCCAGGGGAATCTCAACAACAAACAGGTATACCATCAACTACCAACTATTTGAGGAAAACTAATGGGAGAAACAAGATAGTCTTAACAAATGGAAGAATTGACACTTGAAGAGCTAGAGTTAATAAAGCAAACACAACTGACATTAGAAGTTAATAGTACCCAAATACAGGGTGTCCCCCAAAAATGTATACACACTTTGAATGATTATAAAGTCAGTGTTTATTAGCATACAGTTCATTTTCAAAATTTAAAAGAATCTACAGAAATGAATAATTTTATTTTGTCAGTGTCTGTTTTCAAACTGATGACAGTTATGATCCAGGCCCTGCTGATAATACAAGCAATGAAATCACAAACATCAAGAATCGTTTTGTTTGGTATTTGTGTGCCCTCAATTTGTTGACTGTTGCTGGCTTTATACTGTAAACTTTATCTTTTATGTATCCCCATTAAATAAAAGTCTAGTAGCACTTTAGGATAAATTTTCTTTGTTCAAAGCTTAGTCTGGCTTCACCCATTATTTGAAATCAGTTAAACCTGAAAAGGAGTGAAAATTAAGTGAGTTATCAGCTGTTAAAGTTTGCATACACTTTTTGGGACACCCTATATTTCTTCCAAGACATTCACCCTATTGAAAGATCACCCCAGACACATCAGTTCTTAATGCTTTTTAATCCATGGCTATGTGACAAGTGATATTCAATTTTAACATACTCCAATGGACATATCCAGAGTTATGCAAAATTTCCAGCTTTCTAGATATAACTCTTCTCCATTCTTTCCCATTAAGGAATGTATCAGACTCCAAATGAATGGGGGTATCCTTGATACAAGCAGCACTACTAATAGGAATGCTTAGTTGTAAAAGTTAACCCACCAAACTCTTTTTCCTTCTTCACGAGAATTTGACCTTGGATTAATTCTCTAACTCTGTTCCTCTGGAAACATGCTAAAAATTTCAGTTTTAAATGTGTTACTAAGCAACATTGCTTATGGTCAGAATGACCCTAGATTGGTAAATTAGATCTGGTTTTGGTAGTCCTATAAATACTTCATAAATATCCAGAGCTTTGGGCTGCTTTGAATTCATTGACTTTTATAACTGGCAATGTTAGTGCAGAGACCTTGGAAGCTATTTTTACAGAGTCGTTACAAGAGATAGT